GTGGGGGTAAAGACAGTAAGGCCCGTCTGATTTGGATAAACGTGCAGGAAATAAATGCAGCTTAGTTTAAGTTAACAATTCTGTCTTTTGGCTTATTATCTGCCTGTTATTAAGAAATAAATGTTTATTCTCTCTTATATAGTGTGATCTTATTCTACATAATCCTATCCAATACCTAAACCAAACTACCCAACTACCTTTCTAACTATTAATAAGTAGCTAATCTGTAATTTATTGAGCTAATAGTCTTGAATTGTACATTAAAATAAAGTATGACCAATTTTTTTGGTAACTCTTGTCGCCTCAAGTTTTTAAAGTTTGTTATTTAATTTTATATTTGTTTATCATGTTTATTATTATTTATGATTCTGGGAAAATGTACGAGGTTGTTGAGTGTTGCGATAACAGTGTTTCTTATAACTAACTTTGAATATAAAAATGCTATTGTATCAGAAGTTAAAAACATTAAATCATACTAAAATAAACAAGCAATATATATTGATATGATATAACTTAAAAAAACAACACAATTTTATCAGCAGCGACTCGGTGGCTCAGTGGTTAGCACTGTTGCCTTATGGCCAGAAGGTTGCTGTTTCGAGGCTGTGAATGTTTATTTTCCTTCAGCTTAGTCTCTTTATTCATCAGAGGTCGACACAGCAGAATGAACCAGCAACTTATCAAGCATATGTTTTATTCCCTTCCAGACGTAACCCAGTACTGGGAAACACCCAAACACACCCATTCACACACATACACTACGACCAGCGACCTTCTTGCTGTGAGGCGACAATGCTAACCATTGAGCCACCGTGTCGCCCTGTCAGCAAATTAAATATTTTAAATAGCATTTTCTATGTGTTTATCACACTGCTGTTATGTTTATTCTTTATTATTTGATCTGGTTCAGGAAGATAAATGTTTTTAGAAGCACTCAAAGATATTTTAGTCATTAAAAATACTAACATATCAATACATGATTTCTCTGCATATTTACTCTGCAATGTTATAGAATCTAAAAAAACAATTGTACACAGATTTAGTTTAATTGACACATTTTTATTAAAGTAAGTATAACATTTCTAGTGACCATTAATGCTTAACGCTTGTGCTACTAAGCACAGATGACTGTTTATTATTATTATTTAACCATTTCATATTTGTTTCTCATACTGCTGTCATGTTTCTGAGATTAAACCACTTTCGAAGCCAAACGACTGATGAATTTCACACCCAAGCACTCAAGCGTTACATTAGAGTCTGTTCTATAGACAATTAACGTACGCCTGCCCGTGTAATGTGTCTAATTATTGTCTGATGGCTGTGTATATTAACTTGTTAGTAATTGCATATTATTTTTTTCACCCCATTTAAGCACAAATAATGGGTGTAGTCCATATTCCACTTTATTTTAATCATAAAACTATATTTCTTTACAATGTTACAGAATAAACGCAACAGTATTTTTTATACATTCAACTTGGTATACAGTTTATGTGTTTATATTTCTACATAAAGTATTTCTATCGACCATTGATGCTTAATGCTTGTGCTACCAAACACCTGTCAGCATTGATTATGTATTTTAAATAATTACATTTGATATTTGTTTATTATACTGCCATCATATTTATTCTGTATTGGATCTGGTTCAGGGGAGGCGAAGTGATGGTGCAGTAAGTAGTTCCGTCGTCTCACAGCAAGAAGGTCACTGGTTCGAGCCTCGGCTGGGTCAGTTGGCATTTCTGTGTGGAGTTTGCATGTTCTCCCCGTGTTCTCGCTTGTTTCCTCTGGGTGCTCTGGTTTCCCCTGCAGTCTAAAGACATGCGGTATAGGGGAATTGGGTTGGCTAAATTGTCCATTGTGTATGAGTGTGACTGATTGTGTATGGATGTTTCCCAGTAATGGGTTGCAGTTGGAAGGCCATCCGCTGCGTAAAACATATGATGGATAAGTTGGCGGTTCATTCCGCTGTGGCGACTGCAGATTAATAAATAGACAAAGCTGAAAAGAAAATGAATGAATGATGTAGGAGGATAGATGTTGTAAACTACTCATCAAATGTTCCTTATGCTTAGTCCCTTTACTTATCAGGGGTCACCAGAGCGGAATGAACTGCCAGCTTATCCAACCTTTATACTAGCAATATATGTTTGTGGTACATGTATGCATACACTGTTTGCTTAATTTCTAAATGCATGAAGTAGGATTACCTGTATTTGAACACATGTGTTACCTGTATTTGAGCACATTAAACTCTCCAGGGAGCACTATATCCTATATAATGCACTGCACTTACATGTTTATGGAGTGGCCAGCGAAGAGTATTTGCATCATCTTGATGTTTCAACATCTTAAGAGTCATCATGGCTAAATATATATTAACATTTTTAATTTGAATAAATTCACATATGTCTTAAAATGTGTATTATGTATTATGATATGTGTAATTTAACTGTGTGTGTGTGTGTGTGTGTGTGTGTGTGTGTGTGTGTGTGTGTGTATATATATATATATATATATATATATATATATATATATATATATATATATATATA